TCCCCCTATGGCTTCATAAGGTAAGGTGAACTTACATCTAATTATTCAAACTGCAAAATGATCTTCTACTCCACAAGCTTTTTTATGGCACATCATTTAATATGAATATCTACTATTGGTCCAGTTTGACCAGGACGATGAAGATTTATCAGCTTACTGTTGGATCTCGTAGTCACACCTCTCTATTCCATGCTTGGAGAGTAAGTGTTCCTTAAACCTTAGCCACACTTAGCAGCTATGTCAGCATGAGCATCACTCTGTCCATATTATGAGAAGCTGGATAGAGTCTGCCCATCTTCCGTTTAGGTATCAAATATTTTGGTGCTCTATATTTTTCTGCACTATCGCGTGACTTCTCCTTCAGGAAGCCAGAATCTCAAGACAAGTATTTCTGATTGTACAGAGAACCAAAAATCATTGCCTCTAGGTTTTTGTTATTTAATAGCACCATCTTTGATCCAAAATGTTAAGTAGACTACAATGTCTCCATTTGCTTGCTAATAATGTAGGAGAAAGGGATATGCAGCACCTTAATATGGGAGGGGAGGCATGATAGAAAACTTTAATTATAATAAAGTTTTAGTTAAAGTTTCGTGGAAACACTCTCATTAAGAGGAAAATTAGAACATGAGGTTCTGATCTGAAGTTTGGAGTTTAGTGATTGGGTTGGGGTTCATCTTCAGGGTTTACCATCTTTCTTCTGTGAATACTGGCAAACGAGGCTGCCAGGAGTTATTTTATATCGGGTTGTTTTTCCAAGATAATTTTCTTTTTTTTTGTTGAAATGCACTTATTGTACACCAGAGGGCAGTGCATGCCTGCTTTCTAAAGATTAGTAATGTAGACTTGGAAGAAGTCACAAAATCTTTTCTAACAATCTCCACTTTAGTGCTTGCTTTTTTATTTATAGAGTTCCAACATATTCTGCAGCTCTGTACAATTTACAATAAATCCAATTCTTATAATAGGGCAAGATGGACAGCAGGTAGAAGGTGGAAATTCCCTTATAGAATTGAGGTTGCCGATTGTACTTCAAAGGAAAATTGTAGCAGATAAATTGGTTCACTGGCCTGGCTAACAGACCCTAATAGACCCTCTTGTGCTTTTCAACGTTATTTTTGACTGTCAATGACTTATTGTTAAATATTCCCATTGCATAATTTTAAAACGCTGCGGAAACTGTTAGCGCTTCATAAATAATTGCCCTTTAGCTTACAGATTGCACCAAGACTAGCTAGTGAAATCTTCCATGTGGTTACTTAACCAAGCATTTTTCTTTACTTTTTGAAATGTTTTATTAGCATTAGTTTGGTGGAAAACCCACACCAGCCAAATTTTGATAACTATTTTAGATTTTTATACTTGTTCATTCTAAAATGGCTAGCTTCCCCTTTAACTTTGGTGAGGTGGTCTCATGTGCTGTCTGTATCTGTAGTGTTTTGCTTTGCCTTTCAGTTTTTCCCGTACATTCTCCTCCTTGTGGCCATCCTGCTATATCTCCCAACGTTGTTCTGGCGTTTTACGGCTGCCCCCCACCTCTGCTCAGACCTGAAATTCATCATGGAGGAGCTCGATAAATCCTACAACAGAGCCATCAAAGCCGCCAACAGCTTCTACAGTGCTGACAAAAGAGATGGTCTTAGTAGCCCTGCCATCAACGATAACCTGGCACAGAGGTAATTGGATGTCCTGTTTCAGATCATGAGCCTGTTACGAAGAAAATGTGCATATCAAGAAAGTAGCAGTGCGGAATTGTGCTAGTGAAGTGGCCAGCAGGGTTATATATTCAGTGCTTGTCTGATATTTAGCAATGGAGTTACACACAATGATCTAATTAGATTTGTCCGAATTTAAACTATAAAGTGTACCTACATCTAACTTCTGTTCGTAATCCTTCCTCTGATGCTTGCCTTAAAGACTTCCCCTCTCTTAGACTTTCCCGAGTCTCCACTCCTTCAAAAAATCTTTGAAAACGTACTTCTTGAGGAAAGCATATCAATTAAACTGTCGACAGCTTTCCCTGCGCCCTCATTCCTCTCCTGCAACTGTCATCAAAACAAAACACTAAGCCCTCAATGAACACTATCCTAACAACCTACTTTTCTACACTACCCTTACCCTTTGTGTCACTATACCCCACTACCTCTAGCATGTAAGCTTATTGATGGCCCTCAATCCCTCTGTTCCTGTGTGTCCAACTCCTCTGGTTACAAATACATGTGTTCGTTCACCAATTGAACAGCGCTGTGGAATTTGTTGGCCTTTATAAATAATAATCGTTCACCCTAATTAAATCGCCCTCAAATATACAACTAAACCTACACCTTGCAAACCTTATCTATACATTCGGTGCCGATATATTTTGTGTTTTTTTTTTTTTTTTTTTTTTTTTTCTTGAAACTTTGTTACTTTGTTGAGGTCAAAATTTTGTTAAACATTTATGCAGTTATTTTTTCATTTTTGTTTTTATTCCTCCTAGTGCGTGGGAGATCTCTGAAAGTCACTTTAAGTACCCGTTTGTGGAGCAATATCTCAAAACAAAGAAGAATTCTCTCAATCTAATCGTAAAATACCTCATTTGCCGCTCCCTTACCTTCATCATCATACTGCTGGCTTGCATCTACCTGGGCTATTACATCAGTCTTTTCTCTCTGACGGACGAATTCACTTGCAACATCCGAACTGGAATTCTTAAAAACGACACTACGCTTCCTTCTCTGATCCAGTGTAAACTCATTGCAGTTGGAGTTTTTCAGCTTCTGAGTTACATTAATCTGATTGTCTATGTGGTGATGATGCCATTTGTAGCCTACACGATGTTCGTCCCTTTTAGGAAAAGAGCGGACGTCCTCAAAGTTTACGAGATTTTGCCAACTTTCAGTGTTCAACAGGCAACCTCAAAGCACTACGATGATCTTAGCCTCTTCCTGCTGTTTCTTGACGAGAACATTAGCGAGCTGAAGTCTTACAAATGCCTCAAGGTGCTAGAAAACATTAAAGGCAGCGGGGAGGTATTTGACACTATGCAACTCCTAACCACCTTGGGTACTGTGAAGACTGACACAGTAGATGGGAAAGTATCTGCCTTTAAGACTGGAATGGTACCCTCTGCAGAAACTGAAAAAAATTCTCTTGAGCTAAAAGGTAAATATTGCATCAAAGTTTTAATGGTGACATTTTAAAGCAGAGAGAGCTAGCGTTGTTCAACTATTTCACACAGTTTGCTGTCAGCCAGTTAAAGCTGTACCTCACTTTGCCATATGCGATTCTGGTAGCAATGCATGGTGGGTTGTCCAATACCACTTGTGTTGCCAGGTAAAGCTATATAAGCATTTAACAGAAAGCATAGGCTTGCATTGCATATTGTGCCTAACCGTGCCTTTAGTCCTTTCTGATGTTTCCTGTAACACATTCGGTCTAATTATTAAAGGGACACTATGTTCACCCTGACCACTTCAGCTCAATGAAGTGGTCTGGGTGCCAGGTCCCTCATATTTTAACCCTTCAGATGCAAACATAGCCGCTTGAGAGAAACTGCTATGTTTACATTTGGGTTTAATCCAGCCTCTAGTGGGCGTCTTCCGGATAGCCACTAGAGGTGCATCTGCGACGCTGGAGGCATATTATGCCTCCATCGTGCAGAGCATCCATAGGAAAGCATTGAGAAATGCTTTCCTATGGACACTTTGATTGCGCGTGCGGCGCATGAGCATTCGGCTCCGCTGACGTCAGGGGGGGGAGGAGAGGTCACCAGCGCCAAGGGAGCCTGGCGCTGGAATAAGGTAAGTAGCTGAAGGGGTTTTAACCCCTTCAGCGCCACATGAGGTGGACCCTGAGGGTGGGGGCACACTCAGGGCACTATAGTGTCAGGAAAACCGCTTTGTTTTCCTGAAACTATAGTGATCCTTTAAAACCTAGGAATTGTTACTTTTAAATTATTTTGTAATGAAAGCAATGTATACGAAGGACATTTAACTGCGTATTTATAATATTTAAAAATAGTTTTTTGGTGGGGGGGAGTGGGGGACAAGTCTACTGAAAAACATTTTGTGAGGAGATGCTCTCTGTATTCAAGTTTTGTTTGTGTTTTTTTTTCCAAAATCTGGTCCTTTTTTTTTTTTTTTGAATTTGCGCTGGATTTTTTTTTTTTTTTTGTCTCGCTTCTTGAGAGGCAAAATTTGCCTACTTAGTAGTTGCTCCTGTTGCAAGCTTTACTTTTGTTAAAATGTTCTCCTCTTTTTAAAAAATATTTTTAAAGGTGTAAGCTTCAACAATACAAATGTAGAAAAATCAGATGACGTAACAGAACCCGCACCCTACAGTTTTATTAAACATACAATGTTTGTTGAATACTGTGTGACACAGAACACTTTTTTTTTTTAAAAGTGCACCTTTGATGCCAAATGTGGCTTGGTGTCACTTCAAGAGAGGTCATTTCAGAAGAGACTATCTTTTTACCTATACATTTGCTAGTACAAATATACAGATAAATTGTGTTCTCTGTGCTCTTATGATTATGCCATTGGCATACGGGTAAACATTACTACAGTTAGGTATGTTATACAGTACTCGCGTGACACATTGGCATCCCTCGTTTATTCACTTATTAAAAATTGTGGGGAACTGCACTTGTAAATTGTGATTGCAGCAGCTGCACTCTTTCAGGTAAATCTCTTCTCTCCTCCCCTATGTGCAGGACTACAAAATGAGTTTGGGGGCTCCTGTAGACTGCAGAATTTTACTCTTAGATCTTGTTGAAATATGCTGCTTATAATCCTTTGCTAGACCAGTTTCTCAGCAACAGGTTTTATATTGAAGCCATTGCAATGATATAGTTGTCTCCTGTGAATCTGTAACTCAGTTTTTGCTTGCCTCCAGCAGATCAGTCCACAAGCGACACTTTGAACACTTCAGAAGAAAAGAAAGTTCGACAGAGGCTGCTGGATTCCTCATGCTGAGCGTGGCAAGCTCTGCGGTATTGGGCAATACAAGTGCCACAACTTGATCTTTCCCTTCCTGCTGTCATGCAATATTTATTGGGAATTAAGGCATCTTTGCCTGACGCCTAGCGTGCTCGCTAATATGGGGATTCTGACGTGATGGGAGAAGGTTTTCCTATCTTATACAGGTGGTCAGCGAGCTTAGGGTACGCCTCAAGTTTTAGGAGCTGCCCATCTTCATTTGTAAAAATGTTTACAAAAGCCATATGTCGATCCAGTAAATAAAAATAAATTTAACCTGAACTTTATGCTGGATTTTAACGGATTGGAATGCGGTACAGTTTCCAAATGTTGGCACTAATGACGATTTCCATGTTATGAACACTGGAAGAGGAACCCTTTGCATACTATATGCATGTATAGTATTTTACATTTTATTTTTTATTTTTATTTTTTGCTTTTTTTTTAATGATGTGTATTGACTTTTTTTGCCACAGGTGAAAAATTTTAAACAAAACCCAGATGGACTTGATTCAGTTTGCGGACACTGTTCCAGCACCTTAATGTAAATTGTAAAGAATTTAGGTTTTAGTATTTTTTTTTATTTTTTCTTCTAATTATTAAAACCTAGGAATTGTTACTTTTAAATCATTTTTGCAATTAATGAAATGTTTGCCAAGGACATCTGTATTTATAATATTTAAAAATTCTATGAAAAAGTCTGCGGAAAAAATGTTTTGTGGGGAGACGCTTTTTGTATTCCAGATTTATTTTATTTCCAAATCTGGTCTTTTTTTATGAATTTGTGCTGGATTTCTTTTGTCTCTTCTCTCAAAGCAAAGTGTGCTTACTTGGAAGTTTCTGGCTTTAATTTTGTTAAAACGTTATGCTCTTACTTTTTTATAAAGGTACTAAAAGAACCATAACCACTACAGCTTATTGTAGTAGTTACAATACTCCAAATCTGTTCCTGCATTCTTACCGATTTATAACTTTGCTGTTTTTCATTATTTTGAGTGAAATCGCCAGCATCCAGTCAACCCCTCTGACTTGTCATTTTGGAAAGCCTGGCTCCCCCATTTGGCCCTCTAAGTATCCAGGTGATGGCACTCAATGGATTGTGTTCAGCCCAATGTTCTAATGAATTTGTTGCAGGTTAGGTGTGCAGGAAGCTGCCTCTTACATATTGTTCTGTGATTACACTTGAAGCATGATACCCTCTAAATTTCATTGTAGTGGATAGTGATGCCACCATGCATGGAACAGTTTTTTTTATTTATTTTTTATATATATAAATTTTATTTTTTAACCGTTTGGTCTGTTCACTTTTCACAGATATAGCGATAGTAGAAATTTCTCTTCTCAATTAGTGATATCAATTCCGTCCATGTATGGATGAAATTCAGTAAGTGAGACTTGACTAACACTCCTCGGCCAAGAACTCTGTCCAAATGTGGATAAAATGTATTCATCCAATACGGAAAGGGAACTTCATGGGTATCGCTAACTAGGTTTCCTGGCAGGTGTTAAATCTTCAACTGTGAGACAGCACCATGATCTCTACAGATTACCTAAAGCAAAAAATTAACCTGTTTGTTTCTCCCCTCCCCCACCAAAATCAATATTTGATAGTTGCTGAGTTAATGCAAAATTAATGCTAAAACGACTCTAAACGTTAAAGTGTGATAACACTTTTTTTTTTTTTTGTAATTGAGTGAAATGCCTAAAGAAACATAATGCTAATGGCGGACAGATTTGCCACCTCCGGTTTGGGAATTGCTTTACCCATGATGCATAGCAAGCCTAAAGGGGGCTGGGAGATCTAGTTAATCAATGTTTGGGTTGTTAAGGTTGGCCATCACTGTTGTAAACCATGAATTCATTGAAAGATCAAAATAAGCATGTGTTTCTAATATTTTGATTGCTTTGGCAATCTCGTATTTTAGAGCAGCAGCTCCCAAATCCAAACCTTAAGGCAAACCATTTAATGGGAAATCCCCAAGTCCTTCACTGGGTTTGAAAATACGGTTTTAAAAGTATACTTGAAAACATTTAATTTTTCATTCTTAAGCTAAAAGTAAGCTTAACTTGTACAATGTGTAAACTAGCCCATAACTAGCACATCTTTTCACATTGTGTTTATCAGCGAGTAGATTGTTCATACCAATATAGCTTTGATTTAAAGAAAAACTATAGTGTTAGAAATACAAATGTATGTATTCCAAAAGCAAAGTACCCTGGTGGCTGTTTAGGTAACCGGACCCCCACCTGTAGTAAGAAAGAAATGCATTTGTACTTCAATTTTCTCCCTCGCAGTACAAGACTGTTGCCGTTCTGCCTCATTGAAATCACTGGAAGGCTAATGCGGATGCATGACAAAACGCAGTGTTGTTAGGCCATCTAATAGAAACAGATTTTTTGCACTGCTAGTTTGGGGGAAGTGTCTGTAGTGGCGGTCTGCCTGCAATGTAAATATTACTTTTCTGCAGAAGTTCAGCAATAGTTTCCCTTACATTGGTAAAACTGAGGTACACAGCACCCAGATCATGTCTTTGAGATAAAGTAGTTTGTGTGCCTATAGTTTTTATTTTTTATTTTTTCAATCAATGCGCATGCCTTTAATATTTTGGTTTAAGTCTTCATTTAATAGTATAGTTCTGATAATATCTTTCACTTGCGTCTTATTACCCATTGATTACCTTATGACAATGTCGTTTTCTGTGGTACATATCCAAATGTAACTATTCCTTGACAAGACTGTTAACTAATGTGTTCTTTGTACTTTGCATATAGTTTACATTTTTCAGAACCATGGCCAGCTCCGCATTTGTTTTATCACTTCAATAGAAATGCCTTTGTAAACTGTCAGTGTCCACGATGTGTTCTCAAAATAGTATGTACTTTTGCTTACAAGTAGTAGCTTCCATTTATTTATTTTTTCCTCCCACAAGCTCATCCCAACACTTTATATAAAATCATTTAAAAATGGCAACTGACATAAAAGAATATAAATAATGCTGTACCATTAACAGCACTCCCAATGTCTCACATAGCAACTTCCTTATTGGATACATTTTGAGAATGTACTCAGTCAGGCCAATGAGAGATCAATGTGAGCTGATGTTCTGACCTCATTCTACTTTATAACCAATCCTATCCTAATATTTTGTACGCTTTCCCCTTAGCCATATGTACAAGACCAAATCCTAACCTGTGAAATGCACTCAAGTTATTTTTGGTGCAGAGTGTGGATCTGCAAAATATCTACCTATGCTCATGGTAGCTACTGTAAACAAACTTGTACCAAGTTGGCAAGTTTTCAAATATGATAATCTACCTATTCTTTAAATGGAAAAAAACTACAGTATCTGACACCTTAATCTATTGCTGATCACAAGGCAGCTGTGCTGATATTATATGAGATCTAAGTCCATTAGTTAAATATCCTCTATTTTATATAATCTACATCGTGATTTGGCATATACTGATTTTTAACATCTTGGAGTGGAAAAAAAAAATGCTGTTGCATAAATAATGTGTGTATTAATCTCCTGATAATGTGTTCACGTAGCAACTCCATAATTAACTGTATGAGGCAGAACATCCCATGCTGTGATTATTTGTGATCTGTTCATAGTAATTTACAATTATTTCCTATTAATCTCTCTCGGTACTGTAGAATAAATGGTTCTATGACTTTCTCACTGCAAGAAAAAAGGCAATATTTACCAAGTCATCTACTGTAGCCTCCAATGCACATCATGAGCATAATAGAGATTAAAATATTAATTTCTCTGCAGTTTGAGTGGAAGACCTTGATTGGCTTTTGCTAAATTTTGATTATTGTGGCATTTTACATCATTGAGCGGCCAACAAATGTGATATACATGCCATAAACTAGGGATCGGACGATATTTTTTCAGAGCCAATGCCAAAAGAGATCAATGGTTGCTGATAACCGTGCCGATATTCTATACAGTTAAAGGGACTCTCCAGTGCCCCTCTCCCTCCCACACTCATCCCAAGTTGCTGAAAGGGTTAAACCTCTTTAGTGACTTACCTGAATCCGGCGCCGATGTCCCTCAGCACTGGGTTAGGCTCCACCCACCCTCCTCTCACGCTGACGTCAGCCGGCGGGGAGACCTCATGCGCATTGGCCGCGCTCGCATTAGACCTCCCCATAAGAAAGCATTCTTCAATGCTTTCCTATGGGGATTCCGGCAATGCTGGAGGTCCTCATGCATAGCATGAGGACGTCCAGCGTCATTAAAACACTTTTTGTGTTCTAAGAACACGGAAGTCTCTCTAGTGGCTGTCTCGTAGACAGCCAGTAGAGTAGGACTTAACCCTGCAAGTGAAATTATTGCAGTTTATAAAAACTGCAATAATTCCACTTGCAGGGTTAAGGGTAGTGGGAGTTGGCACCCAGACCACTCCAGCTTTGAGAAAGCAACACAATTTCTAAATAAATCTGACATTAACTAAACCTGCTGACTGCACTCAAACTGCTATAACTCTAAGGCAGCCCAGTACATGCTGGGAGCACTGAAATCAGTGTGTTCATGCATCTATATATTTGTTTCTATCCATCCATTTCTGTATGTTTGTCTCACTTTTTTTTTTTCAGAATCTATATGTCTGTGTTAAATGATGAAATCATGTGACCGTTTTTCCACGGCCATAAAGGTTGTTTTTTTTTTTTTTAAATGTTCATTCAGCTGTTTCTGATTTCTTTCCCGTTCATATAAACACCAGGTTTCTGTTTTTGGCTGGCATTGGTTGGAAGAGAAAAGATGAGAAGGAAATGGCCAGAAGTATAGACGAACAGCCAGCTCTCCGACCAGTAAATGCCTACCTTAATTATTACTGATTTTGTTTGTGTTTTTGTTTTTATTTATTTTTTTAGTATTAATTTAATACATGTAGGTATATTACAGATGCAAGAGTAATGTGAAAACTTCTGTTGGGTTGTTTGGATAAAGGAGAACATATGCTGTAGACACAATGGATCCTTGGTGGGTTCTTCTCAATGGACTATTGGCAGGAGTTTGAGATTGTTGCTTGCCATCAGCCAGTCCAGTGTGTGACATTTCCTCTTACTTGGTCCGGCCATTGTGTTTACATCTTCTGTAATGATACATGTAGTTATTTTAGCATCAATTTAGTATCTGACAAATAATGTGACGGTCTGTCCTGTCTCTCAGGTATAATCTCTTCTGCATTATTACAGCCTTAATTTTTTCTGTGTTTACGAAGAGTGGGTTTGGGGTTTTATTCATTTTATCCTTGAGGCAGGATGTGGGTGTTGGACGTCCGTTAAGCTAAGACAGGTCTGTATGTCAGTTGTATAGTGAAGGAATTGAATGCCTCTTCAGCGTGCGATTGTTTGATACACATATTGAATCGTATCAGGCTCATTATATAATTCACGTATTAAAATGACAATGTGTGCATCTCGCCCAATTGATCATAGGACTTTAAGACCTCTTTATCTGCTTTTCATGGTCATAAAGTAAAATGTGCTCCTGCTCACCTGGTGTCACAAGCCGTAAAGGAGTCAGGATAATAAAGTGTGCCTTTGGAAAAATAGATGCAATTATAGGACAATTAAAAAACCTATTTACATTCATTGTAGCTTTCTTCCCTGTTACGAAGTGTTGTTAATAATACCACTTACATGTTGATTGCATCTCAGTTTAACTTCCTCACAGCGATTATTTTCATTTCAGTTGATTAGTTTCTCATATCTTTTTGGTTATTAAATTATGTTTCTTTTCCCTTTGTGCTTGAAAAAGTAATTCCATACTGCAAATGACGCATTATCTTCCAGTGCTAAATGCCTTTGAACACGAGTTACCTCAACCACAACAGGGCAATATAACCCCATAGCCACTACATGACTTTGTAGTGGTTATGTGCATTTGGGTGCAGGCGCAGTCACCTGGTTCTTGACAAAACTAGAGGTACTTTCATTTTGGCTCCCTGCTCAGCTATTGTTGGCACGGAAGGCAAATATCCACATTGGACGTACCCTTTGGAAGTGTGCCTCGGGAAAAGTAAACAAAAAACTGAAGATATGTTTTTCTGAATTGGTCGTTTTAAAAAGCCTTCTTTGCGGTTTTTATTTATTTTTGTTCACACATACACTCACAAGCACACATACACACAATTTATTTTTACTATTTTAACATTTTTCTCCACCCAACCTCCCTACCTTTGGGAGTGCTGGCATGGTGTCTGTCACTGTGGTTTAGTTCTGCTGCTGGGGTCCAGTGGGGGCTCTTGAGTAGCTGGTGTGCAGTCCCTGGGGTCCAGTGGGGTGGCTGGCATGCGGGCAGCGAGGGAGCAGTGATCTTTATGCTCAGCTCCCTCGCACGCCTCTTAGTGATGCCGGAGTTACGTCCTATTCTAGCTCCGGCATTACTGCTGTGCGCGCAAGGGAGCTGAGTCAGGGAAAGTGCTTCCTCGCTACCCGCGGCCATTTTTGTGTAACCCCATTTGTGTTCTTGCGGAACACCCATTATTTCTGATTCCCATTTGGCAAGTAATTAAAACTAATGATTACATTTTGCTAGAAATATGCAGCAAATGTGAAAAAGTAGGTGAGCCATGAAAACTTTGGTGAATAATTTAGATTATTTTGAGGATTACCCCTTTTGCCTGTGTGTTTGTGTATACAGAGTCATTAAAGTGTAAAAAGATCACAAAGATTTTAATTTTTTTTTAAGCCACAATAACACAACTGGAATGTGGTTAAATTGCTGAATTTGCCACCTGTAGTAGTTCTGGCCTACAATTTTCTGTTTCCTTGTCCATTCCCAGTTTTGTGAGTGCACAGATAATTCTTGCAATCATTGAGCAATTTGCAGATGGCTGTCCATTTGGAAAGCTTTGAGACGTTACTTTTCCTCCCAACCTGCAATTGTTTGCTCTTAAGGTTCTTTTCTGTTGTCAGGTAAGTGTTTCTTGCCCACAGTATACTGACTTCTAGTTCAATTGTTATGTTGGGCAGCTTCCTGAAATCGCGATTGCACAATGTGTTTACAATTTATGAACAATCAATATGGCTGCCTTTTGTTTGAACTTGACCAGGTATAACAAATTGTTTTACATAGTGTTCTTTTAATGACCAATTTGTAATAATCTGCTGTAAGTATTGTACATTTTTTTTTGTCATTCTCTATGAACTTGAAAAGTGTTGAATAAACATTGTCCCGTAACATGTCATTATTGTCTTCCTTGTGATCTTTTTATAACAAAACCTGGTCACATATAATTGAGGATCTTCAATACCAAAAAAGCACTTTGTCTGTGACTGATTTCCATACAGAGGAACCAAGGTTAAAGATTCTGATCTCCAGTTGATTCACATACTAATTATGTGTAAGCTGGTTTGAGCAGGGCCCTCAACACTCTGTTCCTGTGCATTCAACTAGTCTTGTTACAAATACTTGCATGTTAGTCCACCCATTGTACAGCGATGCAGAATTGGTGGAAAGCGCAAAACTCAGCCAGTAATCTTGAGAATTCCCAATAAAGTTTTAGAGCATGGCACTCTGACCGCTGCTTGTCCCTTAGGCAACAGATAGCTCTATCCAGTGGTGTCCTTAGTTTGAGGGAACTCCTCTTTCAGTGGTGACATTATCAGGCCCAAGTAGATGAATTGAATTTTAACCTTTTTTAGGCTTTTCTGTATGGGCATTTCTTCTTAGTGGTGAACAGTACATGAAAAGTGCTGCCCTGGGCTTTGAACAAACAACAACTGAAGACCGCTACAGTAAAGGCCTGACAAAGCACCACAAAGGAGGAAACCCAGCGTTTGGTGATGTCCATGCATTCCAGGCTTCAAGCAGTCATTGCCTGCAAAGGATTCTCAACAGAGTATTAAAAATTAACATTTTATTTATGACTGTTCATTTGTCCAATTACATTTGAGCCCCTGAAATAATGAGACTGTAATGCCTAAACATGTAATTCCTAAATTGGTTGCAAATCTTAAACATTTCATGCAATATTTTTGTTTAACCCCTTGAATAAAAGCTGAAAGTCTCAACTGGATGGCAGATTGCATTGAGTAGATCGCCCTCTGCTGGTAGGAGAGAAAATATAGCCTACAGATCCTGGTTAGTGTTGGAGCCCACTAATCTGTAACCTTCTCTCAGCCATTGTAATTATAACAATCTTTTACGGTCTCCCATCCAAGAACCCTGCAGATTCCTCCCTGCTGATCTCATGCTCTTGAAGGCTAAGCACTGTTGTGAGAAGGTTATTGTTAGACTAGTGGGGCTCATCCAAGACCAACCAGGTCCTGTAGGTTTTTTTTTTTTGGTTTTTTTTTTTTTCTTTTCTCTCCTACCACCTGTCAGGGTAGCTTTTTGTTGCCCAGGCTCTATCACAGCCTGGGGACGTCCAGCAAGTGAAGGGGAAACATTTCGTATGGTTCTGTTCCAATGCCAGGTGCTGTAGCTCCACCCCCTTTATGACATGGCACGTGTGCGCCAATGTCATGACACCCATGACGTTGTGGCCCGGCAAAACATTTGCATTTGCTTGGGGCGTGGCTATAGAACTAAAGAGCTATAAAAAGGTTGTGGTTCTAATTTTGATCACAATAGCGCATTAGATTCCTCCTATTGTAATTCCGGCTTTGATCTTTGCATTTACTAACTATTCTAATTTCTATACTCCTTTGACTCCGCTATTGTCATTCGCTATTCCTGATTTCTGGCTTTCCTGACTATTCTCTCTACTTTGACAAGTAAAACACATTTTTCTCCTTGTTTTGTTATTACACACTGTGTGTTGGGTCTTTCAGTATTTGACACCAGCACATGGCAATCAACTCAATGCAATCTTTAATTCAGTCTTTTCTGAGAGTTATTTATTTACTGTGTTTTTTACAGAAAAAAAAAGTTTTTATTCACTAAGATGAAAATTGAAATTTAAAGTGAAAATATCTACTTTAGTTACTCCAACTGATTGACTCAGTAATCTTTTTTTTATTTATTTTTTTGACTTATGCAATAACATTCTTTGGGTCCCACCCCCATTTTTGTGTGAAAAGTGTACAAAAGTAGTATAAAACGTACCTGCATGCCTCCTTGGAAAATAAACTTTTGCACCCTATCTACTCTAATGTGGATACCAAAATCATATTACACACTGTCAGAGACAGACAGACAGACAGACACCACACCACACCAAGCTCTTCCTCAAAATCTGGGATAAATATAAACCTAAACTGTGTGGGGGACAGAGAGCTATCACTAGCAACCCCGATATTAACTTCTCCCCTGAGGAGTCCAGTTGGAGCAGCTTTATGAAGTATACTATTTATTTTTACATTTCATTCCATCTGGACATAGGCATATATAATTCCTTATCCACTCTTAGCCATGTATCCATTTAAAAAAAATTCTTTCTTTCCCCACCTCAAGATCTCTGTTAAACTTTTTCTAACTTTTATGAATTTTCTCTGTTTCCTTCTATCTTAAAATTCACTGATATTGCTTTTCATTTGCAGGATGGGATTTTTTCTTATTGCTAACAGCCATGGGAATGATCATTGGCCCTAAACTCACAGCCAGATAGATAATTCCCACCGACACCTTCAAGTTGACCTTTCAAACATTTCCCAAAGTCAAACTTTTAATTCACTGCATCAGTTTTTGTTACTGATAATGATGCTATTATTTCCTTGTTTATGTATGTGTATGGCAATTGACCAGCTACCATTGTATGTTTCCTGTGTCTATTATTTCTACTCTATTAAAAGTTTATTGAAAAAAACATATCTAACCTTTAATGGGCTGATATCAGAATGGCTGCCCATTTAATTTCCCTAAAAAAATACCAAATGGAAATACATGTTCTAAAACATTGCAATTTCCAACATTTGCCTAGTTAATATTTCCAGGTGCAGAATTATTCTGTAAGTGTAAAAGGTACACTAAACATAGTTAATAGTAACCAGTTAAAACGGATTGTCTTATCTGCTCACAACCTGATTAAAGTTCAAAGCTTCTGAGTTAGTTCATACTACTGTATTTATCTTAATTGGGATTGTTCCGATCACCTCAGACAGTGCGTTAAGCTCAATATGATTATTCACTTATTTGAAAATTATCTAGACAATCACACATTTTAGAATAAAATAGAATTAAAAAACATTGTTAAACTCAACTCTTGCCAACGTAAACTATTTAGACCTTAAACTGGGAATCCCCTTGTCATTTCTCAACTGTTTGTTAATTAACTAAAAAAAAATCTATAAGCAGTCAGGTTTATTCACAAAAATGAGAAAAGTAAGTAATTGACAATGAAACTCTTTTATTGCCATCTGGTGAAAAAACATTCATTTTCAGTTGCTTACTCAGCATATTACAAAATCTTCATACTTCAATGTATAATGCAGTATCAGGATATATTGATACATGTGTCCTTTTTGCTTCACTTCAGGTGAATCTTTTGGCAGTAGCTATTAAAGAGAACTGAAGAATAACTTTCACAGTTGCCTTTGTGGTTGTATTTACAGGTGCAAACCTCACTGCTTGAAGACTGCCAGACAAATCTCTACTTGGTCTGTCTTCACTAATGATGGTTCCCAATGAGATCCTTGTACTTATTGGTCAGTATATTGGATTCCTGTACCAGCTGGCCGAGGATACAAAACAGGCCCTTGAAATGGTGATAGAACATGCCTTCATTGTCCATGTCAGTCATAGTCTTTATGTCTCCATCTATCTCCTGGTCCTCCACTGGTATCAATCCATGTTCCAAGTTGATCCTTACAGTCTTTAGCTTGATGTAAAGATGATATAGGTCTTTGCATTCATTTCCTGGATTAAGGGGCTTCTCCATGGGGACATCCCTTAGAAGACTGGGAAACATGACCACCTGCTCCATGCTTCTCGTTGCCTTGCAGTAGTTTGTCATGGCTGTGGTCAGACAGTTGATCTGTGATGCCTGCATATCTGCTGCTGCCTTTAGCTACGGTAGAGAATAAATCCTGGGTTTAGTTTTTCTACTAATGCATTTGGAGCAAAAGAAAAACCATTTAAATATGTATCTCTGTGTTGAGGGTCATTGAAAAAACATCCAATCATATAGTTAGCAGCCACTTAGGTCAGCAACATTTTTCTTTTTAACATTTTGGCAAACTTTAGCACGTTTCACAGTCAGACGGAATGTTTCACAATATAGTGTTTATTGCAAACACAGGCCTGATCGGACGAGGGTTATCTATCAGTAAGCAAACAAGTCATTCAGTTACATCAGAATAACTATACTTGCAAATACTAATTTGTTCTAAAAATTTTGACTTGCAAATGTCTAAAAACCGAAGACCCCAAAATGTTTACAGTGCAAAATATAATGACTTGTCTGATTATATAACTGTATTAACCAGTGCAGTTATGGCACAGTTCTGCAATGTACTCTGTGCAGTGGGGTTATAGGTACAAAGGGTTAAGGCGATTTGGGGTGTAGGGAAAGTTAGAGAGTGTTTTACCATCAAGATTCTTTAGATTGTAACTGAACCTCATCACGGGTTCTTGGGGGGTCCTGCTGGCCAGCCTCTTGCCTCAGGATTATGGGCCCTGCAATATACCTTGCCCAACGCACTTTAAAAGGCTCTGTTCATGTGACGTATGTACTTTTGTACTCCAGACAGAGAGACCGACTGTTAGCCCTAATTCTCTGCAACTGTTTTGGGCATGGGACCATGTGCACGGTTGGTCAAATAAAAGACTTCCAGGAAATTCCTGAACCCCTGAAGAGATCTGGGTGATTGGTTGGATATGTTGGTCACCCAAATCATGGCTATTTGTGGGGTTTTATGTATTTTTAGGGTACTTTTGGGGTGTTTTTAAAAAAATATGTTTTTTCTGTGGGATGCTATGGAGGAGGACATTGATTTCGGCAGCACGGAAGAGTCTAGATATTGGGACACTCGGGAATACCATATGGATGCGCTGGAGCTTCCCAGTACTGCAGGCCTGGGACCAGATATCACCAATCTGGTCGCTATAGAATGGGAACTGGAGCAGGAATACCAGAACCTAAGAGAAGCAGTTCAGCACCAGGCAGCGTTACCAGGAGTCAAGGCAGTCGGTCTGACTCCCCAGCGGCAGTATGGATTAAAGGGAGATGAGACAACCGGTGTCTCTTCCCAGCGGCAGCTGGAGTTACAGGGGGATCCCACTACCATGCAGCAGAAAGAGTCCTGGGGAGCGGAGGCAGCTGGCCTCACCCTCCAGCAACAGCCAGAGGTACCCGAAGTAGGGGACCTCGTAGACTGGTCCTGGGAAGACCCCGAGATGGCAGGTGGAGATGGGACCGAGGTCTCTCCACCGGCCCTACAGGGATGCTAGTCAGCTGGCCCAGATTCCCAACTACAGCCGGAGGTACCAGGAGTAGGGACAGTCGGTCCTACTCGCCAGCGGCAGTGTACCATGCAGGGAGAGGAAACAACTGGTCTCTCTCCCCAGCAGCAGCCGGAGTTACAGGGAGAGGAGATTGTCGGTCCTTTATCCCAGCAGCAAGCATCCCTGGGAGTGGAGATAGTCGGTCTCACTACCGAGCACCAGGCAGCATCACAGGGAGAAGAGATTGTCAGTCCCTTTTTCAAGCAGAAGCAAGCATCACTTGGGGTGGAGACAGTTGGTACCACTACCCAGCACCAGGCAGCGTTATCGGGAGTCTAGACAGTCGGTTCGACTCCCCAGCGGCAGCTTACCTTATAGGAGGAGACAACCTGTCTCTCTCCCCAACAGCAGGGCAAGTTATATGGAGTCCAGATGCTCGGTCTCACTCCCCAGTGGCAGTGTGCATTACAGGGAGAGGAGCATATCGCCCCCTCTCCCCAGCGGCAGCTAGAGACACCTTGGGAGGAGACAGTCGGCCCCCCTCCCCAGCCACAGGGAAAGATACAGGGAGTGGAGATGGTCGGGTCCCACCGACCAGCAGCTGGGGCTATCATCCAGAGACCAGCCCCCTGGCATGGATGGGGCAAATGGGATGCTGAGCATATTATATAAATGATTTTGCATGTACATGATTTTTAGGGATATTATCTGCACAGTTTATAATGCAATCAAAAGCAGGTCATACAGTCCGCAGCTCAGCTCATGTCCAGTTTAATAAATGATTGCTGTATACTGTAAGCTGCTGGTTATTGGAGTTCAGTGACCTGCCCACAACCCAGACATGACACCACAGGGGAAGTTTCAAAACTTACAGGTTCAAGCAGCCTCACCAGACTTTACCAATACCTTAAATTGGCTTTCTGCCTAAATATTTAAAGGGGAACTGTCACTTCTCTAGAATTTACACCATTGAAACTCACATAAAACTTGTCTTAACTGTTAATTGTTTTTTTCATGACGCGCTCTGTTTTCATTTAAATTTAATATTTGGCAAATGGCATCAATATCCAATTCAGACAAGGCAAAAGCAAACATTGCACACAATGGGTAGAAATAGGCTGATATTGTAAGGTTAGTGAAAAAACAACCCTGTACTTTGTGTTATTAATATTGCTAACATATGACAGGTGTGCACTTAACACATTATGTTCCAGGATATTACACCTTGTGTGTTTCTTTAAGACCTCTAGCTTTCCATGTAACATATTACAGTTCGTTATTTAGGAATTCTTCTACATGTATTATGAAGATATGTTATGATGTAATTAAATATATTATATATTTAATATATATTTGGTGTATATCACTTTAAATGTAAAAAAAAATGTGAATAATTTTTGCCCTCACTGTAAGATAAATTGAGATTTTATGCACTTAATGAGTTAGCTTGGGTTATCTCCATAATGTTTAAATGCATTTAATCTGTCACATTGCGATCGACTGTTTGATTTATGTTTCCACCTATATAATATTTAGTATGATGAACATTCTTTATGGATCGAGAAAAACCAGATCTGAGATAACCAGAAGCCGTACTGCCCCATACAGGTGTCAATTTAAAATACTAACCCTTACCTATAAAGCTCTAACCAACTCTAGCCCCTCTTACATTTCTTCATTGATTCATAGGTATGCCCCCTCTCGGTCTCTCCGCTCTACTGGTGACCTTCTCCTGTCTGCTGCTCACACCCTTACTTCAAATTCACGTCTGCAAGACTTCTCACGGTCAGCTCCTTTCCTTTGGAACAGCCTGCCTACCCCCATCAGACTCTCTCCTAGTCTTCAATCCTTTAAGAAGTCTTTTAAACCCCATCTTTTTAGTAATGCTTACTGGCTCCAAGAGTAACTTCTATCTCTCAATCCTTCCTCTCACTCTCTCCAAAAGTGCCACACTCCACTCTCACCTCCAGCTCTCCTACTTTCCCATCTTGTCTATTTGCTGTCTCCCTCAATACCCTTCCTATTGTGTTTTTATACCCCATCTCCTCTAGACTGTAAACTCGTTTGAGCAGGGTCCTCAGCTACCTATTGTTCCTGTTACATTTTGTTATTGTCTCATTTGGTAAATTCCCCTCTTATTGTAAAGCGCTGCGGAATAAGCTGGCACTATATAAATAACAATAATAATAATAATAACTACGATTACATCCATTTTTTTCCGACTGCTGAGGCTCGAGTTTATTATTATTATTTTATTATTTATATAGCAACAGCAAATTCTGTAGCGCTGTACAATCGGTGGACTAACAGACACGTAATTGTAACCAGACAAATGGACTCACAGGAACAAAGGGGTTGAGGGCCCTGCTCAATGAGCTTACATGCTAGAGGGAGTGGGTTATAGTGACACAAAGGGTTTAAGTAGGGGGGGGTGTTGATATTTTGAAGGAGTGGAGACTGGGTGAAAGTCTAACAGAGAAGGGAAGGGAGTTTCGAGTGGCGGCTCTAGACTTTGTGAGGACTTAGGCGAAACTCAAACATGAGGCCCCCACTAACACCTAAAGTTAAAAATAGGGGTTGCATTGTGTGTATAAGGTGCTGTAGTTGTATTGAAGGACAAGCTTGCAGTGCTGGATACAGAGAGCTAGTCTCTGTATTCATCGTTCAGAGGTTTGCAGTGTGGCGGCTCCCTGTGCCGCTGCATTGTGATCTCTCTGACTGTAGTTATGGCATAATATGCAAACTAACTTAATTTGCAATAAACAAATTTAATTAGCAATTATGCCAATTGTTTATACATGACTGAGGGGTATGGTTACCCTTGCAGTCGTATATACATAAGTGGCTGTGTATGTATATATGACTGTATCTGACATTGTCTACCTATGTGTGACAGAGTTTGGGGTGAGTGTTGCACAGTTGGAGTACAGGATTGTAAGGGTTTATGTAATAGGGTGTGTGTGGCAGGGTGAAGGGGGTGAGTGGGACAGACTGATAGATGATGAGTGACAGGGTTGGGGGGTGAGTGTGACAGTGCAAGAGAAGGTGAGTCTGACAGGGTTAATGGGGGGGGGTTAATGCAATAGGGTAGGTGTGGCAAAGCAAGGAGTTTGGTATGGTTGCAGTGGGTGAGAGTGACAGGATTAGGAGGGGTTATGTAAGTTTGGTCGGGTTTAGGGGGCGACTGTGTGTGGGGTCTGAAAGTGTTTGGGAATGGTGATAGTGTATGTGAAGGGGGTGTCAGTGTGTGTGGTAATGATAGGGTATGGGTGGGGAATGACAAGGTGTGCAGTGGAAGGCTGTGACAGCGTGTGTGTGTGGGAAGGCTGTGATTGGATGGGTGTGGGGTGACAGGGTAGGGGAGCTGTGAGAGGGTGGGGGCCGGTAGGGGGCTTTGACAGGGTAGGAGGTGGTGGGGGACTGTGACAGGGTAGGAGGTGGTGGGAGACTGTGACAGGACAAGGGGTAGTGGGGGGGCTGGAGCAGGGGGTGGTGGGGCAGGTGGTGGTAGGGGGGCTGTGACAGGGTAGTGGGGTGGTAGGAGGACAGTAGGAGGGCAGAGGGTGGTTGGTAGGGTTCCCCTGGGGCAGGGGGGTTATGACAGGGCAGTGGTAGGGGGGCTGTGACAGGGCACGGGTGGCAGTGACAGGGTACGGGTAGTAGGGAGCAGAAGGTGGTAGGGTGGCTGTGACAGGGCAGGGGATGGTAGGGGGCAGAGGGTGGCAGGGTAGTGGGGTGGTAGGAGGGCAGAGGGTGGCTGGGGCAGAGGGTGGTAGGAGGACAGTGACAGGGTAG